AATCTTGTTGTAGTCACTTTGAAAATGCTCCTAGGAGAGGTGAGTTTTCTGATTGTCATGGAAATGATCTTTTTACTGAGTTAAAATTGCTTAGAGAGATGTTACATAAGGAAAAGATGGGAGCAATGGATATTTTAAGGTTCTTGAAACGCTTCAATTGCTTTCCAAATGTCACAATTGCATACAGAATTTTATTGACTATACATGTTACTGTTGCTTCTGCAGAGAGGAGTTTTTCAAAGCTAAAGTTGCTCAAGTCATACTTAAGAACAACCATGACACAAGAAACACTAAATGGACTTGCTTTAATATCTATTGAGAGTGATATTTTGGAAGATGTTGATATTGAAACTTTTATAGATGATTTTGTTTCAAAAAATGTAACACGAGTATCACGTTTTAAGTGAATTTGTAAGTTGTATTTTTTTATGGATGTGATGTAATTGATGATTTGAAATTACTATTTAAGTGAAGTTGTTTAAGTTAATGAAATTAGTCATTTATTATTTTAGAAAAATAATTTCGAGATCTAAGTGCCCCTTTACAAGAATTTGCACAGGGCCTCCAACAATCTTGCCACGGCCCTGTACTGAAGTATTGGGATGTTGAAACAATAATACTTGGATGACATGGTATTCTGATGTTAATATGGTGTTGACATGTAAACCAAAAAAAAAGAAAAAATCTATCTTCACTATCTTTATCAAATTTAAGGTTTTTTTCCATCCATTTTAAACTACCGACGAAAACTGTTTTTCTTTGGTGTCATTTACGACCATTATAGACATCAGCAATAGGTCTCATGTCTTTTGCCTCTTTATCAATCTATATTTTTCCTAAAACTGTTTTAAAACTTATGATATTATTATTTTTAGCACATTAAGGGTCCGTTTAGTAATGCTTTGTAAAAGAACTTTTAGCTAAAAAAACTCGTTTTGACCACAAAATCAATGCTCAATAATAAAAAATGAAAAAAATATGGTAGAAACGTGGTTTCAAACCAACCACAAAAGCTAAAATTTATAGTTTTTTCATTTTTAACTTTACGTTTGGAAGTAAATTATAATTTTACCCTACTAATGCATGAACTCCACTCAATTATGTATTTATATTTTATTTTAATAATTTAATGCTAACATCCTTAAAAAATAATTTATTACTTTTAATAATTTATTTTAATTATTTAAAAATAAATAAAATTCATGACTTATATATTAAAATATTAATAGTGAGTTACATAAAATATATATTTTTATTTGCATTTTTTTATTTTTATAGTTTAATTGATATAATTCGTATATAAGAATATTTTTTTAAATTTATTATATTTAAAATTGATATGATTCATATACAAGAGTAAATATAATTTAAATGTTATATTTTTAATTTACAACGTAATGTCTATAATTAACATTTTATCTTTTCAAACTCATTTTTTAACAGTAATATCAAATTATTAAATTTTAAACTGCAATTTTATATAACATTTTTAAAAGTTTGTTTCTACGGCACTTTTAAAAATTAATTTTCAAAAGATACCAAATTAACCTTAATTATTTTATTAATATTAAAAATACCACTTGATAATGGATTACAAAGCATCGGTAGAAGAAAAACAAACCAACAACCAACACCCTAGACAACACATTACAACAAATGTAAGGGTTATGATAAAGACACAATAAACACCCCTTGCTTAACATGAAACATGAAAAACCAACTGAATCGTGAATTGCCTCGAATTTAAGGGGTATGAGATGTTTGTTTAAAAATCAGAGCGATAATACACATTAAAATTTGTCACAATAGACAATCAGATGAGGAGATCAAGACATTAGAATACCAAATATTTAGATAGTTTTCGTTATTTGAGAGGGTTTTGTGAAAACCTAATATAAACCGAAAAATGAAGAGTGAAATATGAACATTTTACTATCGATCTTATTGTGAATGACGATTGATGACGGGTATTAACAGTTGGAGAGTTGATGATTTTCTACATGGACCAAACTAATATGTAAACTAAAATTTAGTACTTAAAATTGAAACATGTTAAAGTTTAGTGACAAAATCAGTACACAAACTAAAACTCATGAGGATGAAACTATCACATCATCACACCATCAACGATTCAAGGATCCACGGTTTAAAATTTAATCATTTTAAAGTTTAGTACTAAAAAGTAAAACAATTTAAAATTCAATGGTAAAAAATAAAATATAAACTAAGATTTAGTGATATTGGACGTAATTTAACCTCACTAAAATTGTAAAAGGAAAAAAACTTATCCCAAAGTCGGCTTCACGTCCGTCCGCCAATTATGTATGGTGGGTAGTGGCCACGTTTAGTGGGCAATACCATAATTAATTAATTTTTGACGATATCAAAAGGGCGGGACAGTTGGGCATCTAGACTTCACCAGCCAGGCTTAACCCTTTCCCCTTCCTTATATAAACCCTCCTTCAAACCCTCTCCCCTTCCCCCAAACTCAAAGCTCAAAGGAACCAACCCTAAAATGGGAGGAAGCAAGAGATCATGGGCGTTGCTGAAGGGGCTGATGAAGAACGAGTCATGGCGGTTTAAGCACTTGGGTTCTCCCTTCAAGTGGAAGAGTTTGGGCACGATCCGCACGTCCCTCTTGGGCGATCTGGTATTCAGGGTTGCCTCCTTCTTCGAGGCCGTTTACTTGCTCTCTACCCTCTGTTTCTTCTATCTCTGTTGTGGTTGTCAACTTTGACCTCATTTTCTGCACTTATTGTTAGTATAAAATCTAATAACTGAGTTGCATGACGATTCACACGGAGATCAGGTTTTTATGTAGCTGAGTCATGATGTGTTTGAGCATGGGAGAAACAGACGTGAAGGAGAAATATAACCTTGATTTGTTTGAGCCTTGATGATAACGATGTGTTTTCTGATACTGTATAAATTGAACCACTCTTCTCATGTAATATTAGGTCATTTACATAAGCCACATGGTTACGCGTTTTGAGAGCAAAGTTAATTCATTGTAACCGGTTGGATTACGACAGATTCTTGGTAAATTTAAATTAAATCTAATTTTAAAATGGGGGTAAACCACACCAAATATTTATAAACTTCAACTCCTACTTTTAATTTTTCTAAGTATAATTTCAATTTTAAATTCAATTTTGATATTGAATTATTAAATTTTAAACTCTATCCCACTCAAAATTGATAAAAAAAATTATTTAAAAGTTTGACATGTTAATATTTTGATATCATCTAATTATTATTTTTAAATAACCAGAATATTTCATTTATCAAAACATGTATGAACAAACGTTTCGCTAAGTACAGACTGAACAAATACAGTCGTGACTATCGAAAATTAAATATAACAATGATCGCTTCGAGATAGTATAATAAACAAAACCATTAACAAGTGAAGCAACAACATACGTAAATTGAATACACCAACGACTTCGAGTATCAAACATGCTGGACATATAACCAAAATAGCCAACGGGAAAAGTGATCTATCCTTAATAGGAATCACATCCATCACATATAACTAACCGCGACGTACATAAACGAATCGTCTTGTACAAACGAAATGATGAATCAACATCGGTAAAACAATCAACCATGTATTCAGGGAAAAATAAAAGACTGAGAAAAATACCAATAAAAACAAACCTGCACCGAGAGTCTAAAAAACCTGTAGCAATGATACTCTTTACAAGAAAGAGGGCCACGAGAAATTATTATTATAAAAGTGATAAAATAAAACTAAAAATGGTGGTGGTCACTGCTAGGGGTGAGCAAAACTCGACTCGGCTCAAAAAACAAATTTTTTTGACTCGATTCGAATCGTAAAAACTAAACTCGAATTGACTTCGAGTTACAATTTCATAAACTCGACTAGACTCGAGTAATATATATCACATATGAAAAAAAAATATGAAGAAACATATTTGTATTGTACATATGATTATAGAAAGACACTTAAATTGGAACAAAAAATATTATAATATTATAAATATTCATAATTAAATTTGAACAAAAACTCGAAAAATCGACTCGACTCGAATTTTATAAACTCGACTCAACTCGAAAAAAATGTCAAGTCAACTCCGAGTAATAAAATAGGACTCGTAAACACGAATAACTTGAAATTTTTTGACTTAACTCGACTCGATCGAACACTCACCCCTAACCGCTGCCATGAAGGAAGAGAATTTGAAAACTGCCAGCAAATGTGTAACTACCGCATAGCACTTTATGGGTGAGTTTTTTTTTATGTGAAAAAAAAAATCTTTCAATTATCCTAGATGATGTTAGTTTTGAGTTATGTTGCTATTCTCGAACAATGCTTCTCATAGATCGAATTTTCGAACAGACATCACAAGTCTCTCAAATCTAAAAAAGCTCTCACACACTTAAAAGTGATAGATTTTTTTATTTAATTTTATTAATTTTGAGTGGATTTCATAAAAAACCAATTATAAGAGAAGAAAGAAAAGTGAAATATAAACATTTTAATATTGATCTTATTGTGAAAGACGATCAATGATTGACAATCAACCACGATAATAAAATTCAGTGCCAATAATGAATTTAAAATGTTTGTATTTTTCACCAATAACTCTTTATTTTGCAATAAAACAATTACATATATTTAAATTAAAAAATTATTTATAAATACAAGTTTTTTCATAAAAGAATTTTATTTTATTTTAGTACCAACCGAGGGAAGTTAGTGTATTTGTATAGAAATAGAACTCCGAGCAATTGCAACCGGAAGAAAACACTTAAAACTAAAGTGTAAACAAGACTTTAAGAAAGTTTATTTATATTAAACACGAGACAAATTAATCTCAACCTAATTACACGTTAGGTGTAAAAATTCTCTACTATAATATTTCTGAAAGAAGAAGAAAAACTCGTGTTTATCGGGTAGGTTTATTAATTAAATATTTTTTCTGTATAATCCAAAACAGAAATTATATTCATATATTTCCCCATTTTCTTTCAGAAAGTATATATTTCCCCATGTTTGAACTATACAAAAAGATTACAAAGAATTTACAAAATAAAAAACTGGAAGCAAAAAACTAATGGCACAAGCTGTTTAAATAGCTAAAACTATCCTGATTTTCTAGTATCCTATGGATCATTACCATTAGCATGTTCATCATCAGCATGATCAACACCATCATCCACCTTTTTCGGTTTCTCTTTCCCATCGGAACGCATCCATAATTTATTGCAAGTCGCCGTCGCTAGCCGCCGACTCCCAAAGTGCATCGCCGTTCGGTCCATCGACGACCCTTGTGTCCCCACCAAATCTTCAATCACTTGGTTATCGACCGCGTCGGCAAATTGTTTCAACACTAGGACGTTGCTTGTGGCGGAATCCGATGTGGCCAACAAGTCACCGACGATCCCGAGCTCTTGACAGTTGATCCTGTCGAATAACTCGATCGTCACCGGCGTGTCTATACCGTCTCGTCTCCCTACAATGAATAACTCGAATTTGTTCTCCATTTCTTTCAATGTGACAACGAGTTCTTCACCATCGTGCAAAGTCTTCTCTTCATATACAATTAGTTCTTCATTGGCAGTTTGTAACCGGAACTCGTTTATGTAATCGTCGTCGATGTCGTTCGGCTTCTGGGCATCGACGAGATCACTTTCAAATATTCTAATAACGGTTAAGCTAACTCCGGGCTTCCTTGACATCCTCCATGCATAAGCTAATGCTTCACAATCGTCCGCTCCGCCGAGGAATAACATCGCTATATCATGGATTCCATCCTCGATATCAGAGACTTTCGCCTCTTCAAGCCCGCGGTCGATGAATATTCCCACCGAACATGGAGCATTGAGAAGCACATTTTGATTTATGTTACGAAAGGAAGATATAGCCTCCCGGACAGACCCTCCTTTAGTGGCTCGTTTACGGAACGGTAAAATTAAGAATGCCACATGCTTGTCTTCGGCCAAACTACAAATATCCCCATGCATGGCCATGAAAGGTGACACCGCGGTAAGAGATTGGATCCGAACGTTGCGAGTCTTGCTCTCGAACTCAGTGAAGGCAGTAACGATTTGATCGGTTTCGGAGCTATCATAGTCATGGTCATCATTGGCAGAGTCTTCGAACCGGGGAGTATGCGAGTCGTGCACGATAAGCATCGTCGCAGGTCGGCCGGGGAGCTCGACTAGGTGAAGGGTGAACACCGACAAATGATTACGTCGGGAATCATGGGTCGCGTCGAGGAGCTTAAGTATTCCGGGCACATTGCAATATGAATGGATGCATACAAGGACTCGTAACTCCGGTTCACTCTTAGCTTCTTGTATGGTTCTACTATTACTCTTTACGAATATTGTGGTCCGCTTGTAGATGGCAGCAATGGTGGGAGCAACTATGCTATTCATTACTAGAATTGCAATTATGGTCACCGCATAATCTCCGTCACGTAAAACCTAATTACGATCAAATTATAGTATGAGAATTAAATTTTGAATTCGAATACCGTAAAAGAACGCAAAACCGAAATTCGAGTACCTTGTTGTCCAAGCCAGTGAGAACAATGAGAATGGCCCATATCCCCTTGGTGCTCATAAGTAATCCAAGAGCAAAGCTATCTTTAGCGTTAATGTTGGAGACAGCTGAAATGGGTAGGAAACTGATGACCTTAACTGCAAAAAGTAAGATTACAACGACGAATATGAGGCTCCACTTTGTTATCTTGAAGATGTCGACTCGGAGACCGGCGATGACGAAGAAAACCGGTAGCATAAGGCCGGAAATGAAGTAACTGAACCGGTCCATCAACACAATGGCTAGATCATCAGGCAAGATGAGGCCGAATATGAAAGCTCCTACGATGGGGTGAGTGCCGGTGACGTCTGTTACGAATGCGCTTAAAACGACACCAACGAGAGCTAAACACAAGTAACAATCGCTGTAGTTTTTGTTGTCTTCGGCAGTGTAATTAACGACCCATGCGAGGAACGGGCGAAAAGAGTAAAAAGAGGCCAATACGTAGGCTGTTGTGGTAGTGATAACATATGGAGCATGCAGGGGATTGCTACAGAATGGTATCAAAATCACGACCAGAATCCACGAACCCAAGTCGCTGATGAGGGCGATGGGGATGGCCAGTTTTCCGATCTCGGAGTTGAGTAGCTTGAGATCGGACAAAATCCGACTAACCGCCGGGAAACTAGTGACCGCGAGCGAGGCAGCCCATAAAAAACCACATTCTTGATGGTAATATTTATCCGTCTCACTCTCATGATCTAAAATCCCACGCACTATATAAAAAAAACCAACCCCTGTGACGAAGGGAAGAAAAAGGCCCGTCACAGTTAGGATCACTGCCTTTTTGCTTATCCGAGTGATGGCGGTTAAATCGAGTTCCAAGCCAATTAAGAACATGTGAAGAACAAGTCCCATGTAACCCAATGTTTCGACCGTAACAACACTCCGTGTCGGGAACAAATCGGCAAAGTACATCGTTTTCCCAAGTGCAGATGGACCCAACAATATACCACCCTGCATAAACATCAAACTCTGCTCTAAAAAAATCATTACATACAACATATAGGACACATCGAACATACAAACGGAACAACAACGAAGCTTACGAGGATATCCGACACTATCCTCGGTTGATGTAAAGGCTTGAAAAGGTGGTAAAGAAAGCGAGTGATGATCAAGATAACGGCGAGCTGCGTGATGAACAAGGGGAGGGCTTCCGTGAAAGGGTTATCACCTTGCCAGATTCCATTGTAGTTAGTGATGTTGAGAAGGAAACATTGGTTCTCTAAGCCCTCATCCATTATTTTTGGTCGGTCGGTCGTGCGATCATCGATCCTTTCCTGCAGGCGTATGCGTCAATCGGAGGCGTCGGGGTGGCAAATCGAGGTGGGGTGGGGGAAAGGAGGAGAACAGTGGTAGGAAAAGGGGCAAAGAGAAAGAACCGGAGGACAAGCAGAGTTTCTTATGAAATACCAAGGAGGGAAGTGTAAGAATACAAGGTTATCCGTTCAATTTGGTTCCATTTTTTGTGGTTTTGTATTGTTTTATTTCATTTGTTGGATTTGATCGCCTAAAATAATTTAATATTTTTTATTTAAAAATATTTTAATATATACAACAATTAAATATAAATAGAATATTATTATTTTTAATAGAAATACAGGTAGGCTTCCAATTAATCGGTAATGAGGACAAGCTAAAAAACCTCTTTCAAGTTAAATCATACAGAATCAATGGAGTTTTATTAGTAATATTAATTCAGAAACCGATCCGTTCAATGAGAATGAAATTAGGAAAATTTCTTATGATAAATTGGAATGAGATTTTATTTAAAATACATTTGTTCATGTTGAGTTGCTGATGCCGGACATAATAATGATTATCCCGCAGGCGCTCCAACAGATGATACACAAGAGAAAATTCGCCCAAAAAAACCAGAGAAAAAAAGTCTCTAGGGTTTAATAAAATATTATAAAATCAAACAATGTCCAAAATCAGTCCACAAGCCGGACTGTTATAGCCAAAAATCGTCTTTATTCGAATTTTGCCAAAAATAGCAAAATCTCGAAAATCACTCTAAATTGAAATTCGAAATAAAATAAACAATCTCCGAAAAATCCGGCCTAAATCGGATTTAAATTGATTTCCTAATTGACAATCAAAATATTACCATAAATAGTAAAAAATATCTAAATCTAGTGATTTGGAGGGGAAAACGGCAGAATTTGAGGTTGAAAAAAGGCCACATGGAGCTTAACTCGATGTAGAGAGCGTGCGCGTCGAAAAGAGCTTTCCGAATTGGGGTCTTATGCGCGATTCTGACACCTGTAGCCAAAGTTATGGCCAAAAGACTGAAACATACTCAAAACGACCCCAATGAGAAACATGTCACAATCAATTCCCGCCTTTGAGCTGATCTGCCAATTCATGGTATCTCAGCGCCATCAATGTGCAATCTGACAACTCAACATCATCTGTCTCGGATCCCATGCATCAGTTGCCCAATAGATTTCGTCTGTCTGCTCAAGTTTTGTGTACTGTTTTCACACTTATCAAATAAAGTGTTTTGTGCATGAAACTACCCTATTTATAAGAATGTTGATGCAAGAAATAAGGCTCAATCGTACTAGTCTAGCTGTATCTTATTCAACTTTTTACACATAATCTGATTCCTTTTGCAAAAGCTTAGACCGACTGTGGATGGTTTTGTTGAGCACGATGCTCGTAATTTTACGGTGATTTAAATATATTTGTTCAAATTCTTGTTTAAATTTAAATATAATTAAGTATAATATTGCGATACTGATCGATTTAGTTTAAAGTATTTTATTTAAACGTATATGATATGCACATATATTTTTCATATTCTTTTTCTAAGATTTATAATATTATTTAATAAATTAAATATCATTTAAAATTACGTCATCTTTTAAAAGAATAAGTTTTGAGGATAAAAATATTGATGAGAATATAAAAGAGAGAATGTAATAATGGGGAGAAAGAATTTGTAAAGAGGTACAATCGATGATCAAATTGAATAAAATATAAAATTGAGAGATAAAATTGAAAATCTAAAAAAATTATTGTCAAAAAGAGAAATTGATGTTAAACATGCATTCTGTTGTTGTAGATGAGCAATTGATTCGAAATTGGTCAAAATAGACTTGAAATTAAAAGATGAATTAAAGAAACGAGAAAATAATAGATCAGATCATAAAACAATCAAATTACTTAGTTAAAGATTAAAACAATGTCATTTTCGTTTTTCTCAACCATATACACTTTATAAATTCAAACTTGATATAAACTTAAAGTTCAAATGAAGAATTTAAATTAATTCGAAAAACTTGAATAATCAAAATTTACATTTCTTATAAAAAAGGAATGCACTCAATATTTTACATTTCTTCTCTCTAATCTACTTGTTCTTTTTTGAAACATCTGTGTCCCATGCGAACTCAAATACCTGAACTGTTGCACCACCAGGACGGAGCTTGAAGAGGATTCCGATTTCGCCAACAAGTTCCCGATGACGCCGAGGTCCGGACATTCAATCATATGGAACAATTGTGTTGTTATCGGTGACTCTAATCCATCTCGTCTCCCCACAATGAATAGCTCGAATTTATTCTCTATATCTTTCAATGTGTCAATCAATTCTTCGCCACTATGTAATTCCTTCTCTTGGTATATGATAAGTTCTTCGTCGGCCGTCTTGTACCGGAACTCGTGTATGTAGTCGTCGTCTTGCTCGTTTTCTTTTGAGGAATAATCGAGGAAGTCGGTTTCGATTAATCTTATAACGGTTAAGCTCACTCCTGGATGCGCTGCCATCTTCCAAGCATAAGCTAAGGCCTCGCAATCGTCGGCTCCGCCGAGGAATAACATTGCTATTTCGTGTATCCCTACGTCGGATTGCGTAACATTGGCCTCTTCGAGCCCGCGGTTGACGAAGATTCCAACCGAACACGGAGCATTGAAAAGCACTTTTTGGTTCATGCTACCAGCACGCTTATGGAATGGTAAGATTATAAATGTCACGGCCTTGTCTTTAGCTATACTACAAATATCTCCATCCAATGCCATGAAGGGAGACGATATGGTAAGCGATTGGATTCGGACATTGGGAATCATGTCTTTGAATTTGGAAAAGGCGGTGATGGTTCGATCCGTTTCGGAGCTTGCGTGGTCACGGAGGTTGTTAGTGGTATGTGAGTTATGCACGATGAGCATAGTCGACTGCCGGTCGGAGATCTCGACGAGGTGGAGAGTGAAAATCACCTTACGATTGTATCGGGGATCATGGGAGACATGGAGGAGCTTTAACATTCCCGGTACGTCGCAATACGAATGGACGCATATGAGGATTCGAAACTCGGCTTCCGGTTTAGCGTCTTGTATAGTTCTACTGTTGTACTTGACGAACAGATTGCTCCGCTTGTAAATGGTGGCAATGGTGGGCGCAACAATGCAGTTCATTAATAAAATCGCAACAACCATCACCGCATAATCACCGTCGTGCAAAACCTAAATAAATTCGAACGGATTACGAGATCGTAAACTTCGAATATGGGCAGTAAAATACAAATGTGACAAAGGAACGTACCCCTTTCTCCAAGCCAGTTGCAACAAGAAGAATGGCCCATGTCCCTTTGGTGCTCATAAGTAATCCAAGGGCAAAGCTATCCCTAGTGTTAACGTTGGAGACCACGGAAACCAGAACAAAAACAATGATCTTAGCAGCAGAAAACATGATTACGAAGATAAATACGAGGCTCCACTTTGTTATTTTAAAGATGTCGACTCGGAGACCGGAAACCGCAAAGAAGACCGGCAACATAAGCCTAGAGATGAAGTAATCGAACCGGTCCATCAACGTGACCGTTAGTTCATCGGGCATGATGAGCCCGAATACGAAAGCTCCAACGATAGGATGAATGCCGGTCGAATCCGTTATGAATCCGCTTAAAATGGCACTGACGAGGGGGAAACACAAGTAGACATCGCTGTGCGATTTCGAGTGGTTGGAAGTGTGATGAACGATCCACGCGAGTAAAGGACGGATAGTGTAAAAAGAGGCAAATATGCCGGCTATTGTTGCAATGATAACAAATGGAGCCTTCACGGAGTTAGCACAAAATGGGATCAACATAACCGTAAGAATCCAAGAACCCAAGTCGCTAATTAGGGCGATTGGTCTCGCCAACCGCCCGATTTCGGAGTTGAGTAGCTTGAGATCAGATAAAATCCGATTCACGGCCTGAAAACTCGTGACGGTTAGTGTCCCCGCCCATAAAAAGTCGCATTTCTCATTGTAATCTCGTTGTTCATCTTGTGCGAAAGATCCATGCAATAGATAAAAGAAGACAAGCCACACCATGAAGGGAAGAAACAGCCCTATTACAACAAGAGTCATTGCCTTCTTGTTTATCCGACCAATCGAACTCAGGTCGAGCTCTAAGCCAACCAAGAACATGTGAAGAACAAGCGACATTTGTGCAAAGGTTTCCAATGTAACAACGTTGTTTGTTGGAAACAAATCGGCAAAGTAATTTGTGTTCCCTAATGCCGAAGGACCTAACAATAGACCACCCTGAAAAACATACCATCATGGTCAAAAAAATAATAATTTTGAGTGTCGGAACCGTAGAACGTATCAAACAAAGGTACTTACGAGAACTTCGGAGACGATTCGAGGTTGATGTAAGGGTTTGAAAAGGTGGTAAAGAAAGCGAGTGGTGATTAAGATAGCGGCGAGTTGGGTGATGAAGTTAGGTAGAGGTTCGTTGAAAGGATTGTCACCTAGATAAATTCCATTATTGGCAGTAATATTCAAAATGAGGCATTGGTCCCCAGAGCCATCCATTTTAATGTTGGTCCGCCACTCTACGATCGATCCTCTATGTCGGTGTGGGCGTCGACCGGTGGCTTTTGGTGGCTAACGGGGAGGGGAAGAAGAACAGAGAGGGAGGGGAAAGGGGTCAAAGAGAAGAATAAAAATAAATAGGAGAAGACTAACAAAGAAGTGTAAAATTTGTAAGGTTATCCGTTCAATTAGGCTCCGCTTTGTGTGGGTTTCATTTTCATTCTTTGCTTTGGTTTTTTATATTTTATTAGTAAATTTCATATATGGATTCGGAACAATTAAACACAAATATTAGAAGAATCCTGGATGGTTTCTAATAATTTTATTTAAACATCATATAAAAAGTTTTATAAATGAAATATCAATTGAATTAATGTCCAATAAATATGAGATACTATCTACTAACTTTAACTTGATTAAAATTAGTATCGATCTAATATATAAAAGAACGTAAAATTAAAAGTACTACATTTTTTAAAAATAAAAATATTTAAACATTTAATATTCTTCAGATTAATGATGACCATAGATATGAATCATTTAAACTTTATATAAAAATTTAATATATGAAATTAACTCAAACAAAAATTCATAAATATATTTTTGAAATATTCTTATTGTAATACCTCAAATATCAGGTTAAGAGTTTCAGGCTAACTTGAGAGGGCCTTGGATAAATTAACTAGCTTATAGGAAGCCTTAGTCCAAATTTGAGTGGATTTGGACATGGTTTGAGTCCAATTGGAATTAAAAAGGGTAATTTTTTTATTAAAGATTAAAGCTAGAAGGATCAAGGGAGTAATTATACCATTTTTAGTTTGAAAGACTAAATCCCATTAATTAGGATGATATCACGTATGAGGCTTCTCTCTTTTCCCCCACTTTCGTTTGCCTTCTTCCTTCATATCTTTCTTCCTCTCTGAGAGTTGAGCAAAGGTTTAAACTTTATAGTCTTGCAAGCCTAGTCTAGGAATACCTAGGTAAGCGTTGTAATCTACTTATCATTGGTTTTCATTCAAGCCTTTAAAATAAAGTTTTGGCCATAGTGACCCTAAATGGGGTTTTAGGGAACTATAGGTTTCTAACTCGTTTTTGTTATAGATTCAAGCTCTAGGAAGTGTTCTTAGTTTTATTCTAAGATCTTAAATGGGTTAGTAACTCATTTTCATTGTTTAAGATTAGTGAAAGAGGTTAGAGAAAACTCCAAGACAATAGACAAAGAGAAGTTGGTCCTTGATTAAGTGAGGACGTTTTTCAACAGCATAGTAGCAAGGTAACACATTCCTAATTTCTCCATACCATATGTGAGTCACCAAATGTTCTTGGTTAGCTTGCTTGAGTTATGAAGCATATGAGCATGTTCATGGTAAATTTCCGGTCATGATGTTATTAACTATGAAAATTACTCTTTATGACCCCTACCATCTTACATAAGTTTAAATAACGTTTAAAGGTCTAAAAGGGACAAATAGGTAGAGTTAGGTGTCATTTTTGTGCTCAAAATAGAGTACTTCTAGGCTTGGTGTATCAGTACTGGATAAACAATATTGATACTATTCTTCAGGTAGCATAAAACAAAGTGGTTTTGGCTGGGAGTATCAATACCAATTCATCGAGTATCGATATAGTTCCTTAAGAATCAACACTCAAGGGTGGAGTACCAATACCACTCTTAGATTTTAGATTTCAGTGTCACAATTTAGTTCCAGTACTCGAGGGAGTATCGATACCAAACAAAGGGGTATCAGTACTCTAAGTATTGGTATTGATAGTGAGCAATTTCCAAAATATCGAAGTTAATTTTGGTATCGGTAGCCAGGGAAGTATTGATACGCTATCACCCAAGTATTGATACTCTAAGTAAGAGTATCGATCCCGTTAGGACTTCTAAGATTCCAACAACCAGTTTTGGTATCGATTCCACGGGTAAGTACTAATACTCAAAGGTCAATATCGATACTGAGCAACTCAGTATCGGTACCCTCCTCCTGAATTGGGTAAAAAACCCATTTCGATTCAAGCATTGGGAAATGGGTCTAATAATACCAAAACCTTATGGAATGACTACAAGTGAGAATAATAATAAATACAACTACAACTAGAAATAATATGAACTAACATGACATAATATTAGCCATTGGATGGCGCTCTAGAAACAGTCAAGACACCTGAGCTACTTTAGCAATATGACAATTGTCTTGTATGTTTGAATGTTCGGAAATGTCTCAATCAGTGCGCAAGGAACTTCAGTTGTTGGTCGGGCGTAGATACCCCATGTTACAATGAGTATGTCAGTCGGGTGTATGTTTCTGGTGCAGAAATTTCAAATCTCACAATATGTATGCTAGAGGGGTGTGTGTCTCAAGATGCAGCGAAACCCTCTGACCACACCATGATGCTACCTCAGGAAGTGTGCTTAGCATACTCACATGGTAATACCTTTGCTTGATAGCATGATCAAGTAGTGGATGCATACAATATGGTCTAATTATTAGTGACACTAAGCATGTAAACTCAGAGTTCGAAATATGTTTTCGCACATGTCCTTAGGAGGAGAGTCGAGGAGTTTATCGCACAACAAACTTTCTAGATTGTTCAAGGCATCATATTACATCTTGATTTACTTATTAGAGGGCATTTACCATTTATAGACCTTCATGTATTCGAGTTGTAACTATATTTTGAAATATTATATTCTTAACTTTTAGGATGTATTTTGGGAGCTCCCCATATTTGTAAGCTTGAATATTATGTTTTTATTTTATAACTTCGATAAATGGTTTTCACATTATGTTTACAAAGGTTTTAAAGAAAAAATTTGGGTTAGACACTTCATTGGTCCCATGTAATACATTAGTCCATCGATCTTCAGGTCATATTGGATTAAAGCGTTAGACTTATATAATTTTAAAATGGCTTAGTTATAAAAATAAGTGTCCAAACTATAACACTTTTCATGAATAGGTGCCTATACTATTTTTTGAATGATCCCAATGCATAAAGTTACAAACGTTACCACTTTAGGTGTTCGAATCGTCAATGACATTAATTTCCTCTATTAAGCGACAAGTGTTACATTTTGGTAATTCAAAATTTTTATTTAAAATTAAAAAAAATAATGTTATATTTAAAAAACACACAAAAATTTCAAAATAACCCAAAACTTTAAAAACTTTCATTTTAAACCCTAAACTCACACCGAATACCGCCCTTTATTGTTAACGAAGCTCCACCCGACCTCACCTCCCACCGACAACCAACCCCTATGAAATCGTGACCAATCGAAGGTCGATCGATGACAAATAGACGTTTTATACCTGTAATGCCCCGAATTCCGAGTGAGTAGTTTGGGTCAATCTAAAACCCATAAGTCGAGCCCATTAGATTTTCTAGACCAGTTTATAAGGGTATTGGGCTTAAGTTTGGCCCAAGAGTATAAGAGAAGTGATGATTTTAAATTATGATTAAAGGAGAGGGACCAAAATAGTAATTTAACCATAACTTGTTTTAAAGGATAAAAACCCCTTATTTCTTCTAGAATTCACGTGAACCATCTCTCCCAAAATATCTTCTCATCCTTTCTTCTTTTCTTCCTTTCCTCTACAAGAGTAAGCCAAATGTAGAAACTTCTTGAATCCCAAGCCTAGTTTGAAGAAACCAAGGTAAGAATCTTAATCCCCATCCATTAAGTTTCATTTCAAGCCCCAAATCTTAGATTTTGGGTTAATATTTAAAAAATGGATTTTTGGGAGTTGAAAAAAATCAAGTGTTTTAAGTTGTTTTTGAGTAGATTTGAGTTATAGGAGTTGTATTTGAGCTTAATCTAGCCCCTAGTTGCGTAGTAATCCATTTCTTTGCTTTGTTTTAGTTTAAAATGTGGAATAGAGTTTAAAGGCCAAAGGTAAGAAAGTTGATTTATAGCTGAATTGATAGAAGTTTTAGCAACCAAGGAGGTCAGGTAACACACTCATAACTCCTTCATACCCTTGGTGGATCATTAAAAATGCAAGATAACTTATGGTTGAGATTGAGCATGTTGAGTAGATGTTCTTGGTAAAATGTATGTTTTAGAGTAATGAGATGTTATAAAACCTTACTTATGACCTTTATAATTCACATAAGACTTAATAATATATGGGAAACCTCAAGATACGGCCTTGTCATATTATTTTGTGAGTCCTTAAAATGCATTCAAGTTAGAAAGTTAAGTTGTGAAACATATATGGTCTATTATTTCATGTGTAACTTATTTTGGTCATTTGGACATGTTGGAATGGTTTTAAGAGGGTTTTGAAGTGTTTAAACGGGTAAAAATTTGAAGTTGCAGAAGAGGTTTCGAAACCCCTTATGGTTGATTTCGAAACCTATTGTGCAGAATATAATTTCAGGTAAAGGTTTCGAAACCTCTACAATAGGTTTCAAAACCCCATACCCAGACCATTACAGTAGGTTTCTAAACCTCTACAGTAGGTTTTAAAACCCCTTTATGATTTTGGTCAAATAGGCCTTAAAAGGTACACGAATGGACGTAGACTTATAGTATACTTCTAGTTGGGATAATTTCTAATAAAATGATAAGTGATAATGAAAGAACACTAATTACAAATAGAAACAAAATATATCAGGGCATGTTCAAGGGTGGGTATCGATATTGTAAGAAGCAATATCGATATTGTTTATGTTTCATACATAAATCAAAAAGAAGTTGTAGAGGCAATTAAGGTATCCCAAAAAACTTATAATTTCTCCTAAATAAGACTACAAGTGAGAACAATATTAATGCTTAATTCAAACATAGAAACGAGATAAAGTAGGAACAAATAATACTAGCCTTGATTGATGTTCGGGAAACAATTCGAAAACCCAAGTTCCTTTAGAAAGCTAGCAAAGTCGAAAGTATAGATTCATTCCAGATATATCCTTAGGGAGTGCGTGAGGCACTTTAAGTTGACTAGTTTGGGCGCAAGGTCCAACACTCAAGGAGTGGGCTAGTCGAGGGTGTGGTGTCTGATGCAAAAATTTAAGGGGCCACATTCTCGGTAGACTAGAGGGGTGTGTGAGCTCCGAGATGCAGAACCCTCAGTCGCACCATGATGTATACCATAGAGTATAGAGTGAGTATAGTATACAAGTATACTCACTAAAGTAGAGCAGAACAGAGCAGTAGACTTGATAGAAAAGTCGTAGACTAGATAAAATGAGCCTTTCAGTGATGCAATTTTAGTATGTTTTAGTTGTTAGAGCGGCACTTAGCTAGTTAGCTCAGCCTTCGGATGTTTCCGTTAGCAGGTTAGTAGTTCGTCCAGTTCAAGAAAATCTAGAGTGACCGAGGTCCAAATCCAATGCAGAGCATAATACGTCATCAAGTTTTTAAAGTGCATGTACATTTATAAACTTTGATGTATTATTGAGTCGTAAAGTAAGTAAAGAGTCAATATGTATTATTTCAAAATGTATATATTTATTTTGAGAGTAAAGTTTAAAGTATATTTCATTTCATGGATTTTTTTTATATTAAAAAAATGGTCATTTTAAAATACAAGAAATGAGTAAAGAGTTGGTCAACCACTCCGGTGGTTCTGTGTGGCATCCTAAATCGGTCGACTGTGTGTCGTATTGGTCTAGGGTGTTACAATACCCCACAAACCCTAGGATAAAAATCGCGATCCCATATGATTCTGACGACCAGTCGATGGCAACTGTGACGATGTATGACTAGGAGGATAGCAAGGATTACGTCGGTGGCGGTGGTCGTAGTCGGAAAGGGTGGTAACGACGGGATAGGGTTAAGATAGGGAGATTTTAGGGATTTGTGACTTTTTATAATTGAAGAGAAATTAGATTTTTTTAATAAATATAAGAATGTTTTGAATGTTTTTTTAAAATATAAATTTTAAAATTGTCTGATTGTGACACATGTCACTTAGGGAGGAAATTAATGTTGTTCACGACTTAGGCACTTAAAGTGATAATGCTTGTAACGATCATTCAAAAAATAGTTTAGACATCTATTCGTTAAAAATGTTATAGTTTTGACACTTATTTTATAATTAAGCCTTTTTAAATTTGATCCTTATATTATAGTTTCTTTCTCTTCCTCGATGTCCATCGTGCACCCACAAGACCAAAATCAACAATCAGGTATTTGGATATAATGTGGCTTCTGTTGGTACTGCTACAGGATGAAATATTTAAATCATAGATCAAAAGTGCTAAACATCAATGTAAACAAGGACCTAAGAAATATTTAGGGTAAACTACACATTTAATACTTAAACTATCAATTTTAATCCATTTTAATACCTAAACTTTCATTTTTTTCAAAATCATGTCTCATGTATAATTTTTACTTTATTTTAATACCCACTGTTAAAAATTTAACGTGTTTAGTACTTAAAATATCAATTTAGATACTAAAACGGACCTAAATTGATTGTATAGGTACTAACACATAATTTACCCAAATATTTAAATCAAGAAATGAAAACTAAATCTAATTTATTTAACTCTAAAATTGACAAGAATCTAAAATACAATTAAATTATAAAAGTTTAGGGGACAAGAGTTTAATTTAACTAATTTTAAAAGGCTTAATACACTATTTAGTACTCCGATTTGCCACTTTATACAAGTGTGTAGTTGCGTTTCTTGCTGCAGTTGGAGCAGGAGCTTTAATGGTCCCGATAATGAAAAACTAACAAAACAATTTTTGTTCATGTTTAATTAAGTTAATGGTAATTGCAGATGGAAATTGGAAATTATGATTCGTTTTACGAGACTGGCATATTTCATACGAGTATATTCACCATATTCGAATTCGGGTTATTTATTTCATCTGAAATTTAGCATATTTAATATTTATATTGAACATGTTTTGTAGATACCACAGGCAACAAAGGAAACTAGAAGCCGTCTTCCTTCTCTGACCTCGCAGTTTAACTGAACATGTTTCAATTTTTTCACTAATCGGTATCGATACATTTCAATACCAAAAGAAAAACAGTACACCCAAAAATTTTGGTATACACCATCAGCAGACCCAGATGTAAAACATTTTATCATTATATATATACGTATATATAAGACTAATGGCATTCATAATGTTCTCAGCAATTCAGAAGAAAATAAAAACTATATGTATATACACACACACGTGTGTGTGTGTGTGTGTGTGTGTATATATAATTCTGGGGGTTCTCTTTAAAATGTTAAGAACAAGAGTTCTGAACAACTTTTTTTGAACAAATTACAAGCATCCATACTAAAAAGAGAAAGCTTATGGCAACTTCATACCTTCATAGCCCAAACTTCACCAGGCATGACCTCCCTTTGTCAAACCAAAGGTAACCACAATCATAGCAATAACAGACTGCAAAAATAAGGACGGGCAGCAACGTAAAGGAGAAAGCTCATGGCAGCAACGTAAAGGAGAAAGCTTATGGCAGCGCAAACTCAAGAAATCGATCTTTGTTTCTTAACAAAAAATAAAGAAGCATATGCTATCATATTGAGAGGAAAAACAGGAATGGACAGTCCCAATTTGTCAGCATGCACCTTGGTTTTAAAAGGCGCACCTAGGCGCAAAAGGTCCCTGGAGCCTAGGCGCAAAAGGTCCCTGGAGCCTAGGCGCAAAAGGTCCCTGGAGCCTAGGCGCAAGGCGCACTTTTATACTAAAAAACCTATAAATTAGTTATGGAACATATTTTATACTTAAAACAATATTATAAACATATCTATGCTAAAAAGTTTATAAATTAATTGTATGAGTATATTTATACTCATTACCCACCAATTAACTCCTAAAATACTTGTCTGCCATGTATTGATTTATATTTTAAAGTTTTTAATATTTAAAATTATTATTTTATTTATTTTTATAAACATACTTTAATCCCCTTTCACCAAAATCTACACTGTTATTGATTTATACTTAATGTTTTTAATATTTAAAACTATTATTTCATTTATTTTTAAATGATACAAATTTATTTTATTATCAATTTAAAATTTGTAATTATTATAAAAAATAATTTTTATATTTAATAAAATTTATTAAGTAATTAATATTTAATTTAATATTTTATTATTTTAAAAATTAAAATTAATTATGTATTATTAAATAACTAAATTTCTAAAAAAACATATAGTTAAAAGCAGACAAAGGGTGGAAGAGGTTATAATGGTTTGTTATAAATAAATAAACATTAGAGTTGGACTATAAATTTGGGCTATAGGGTTGGACTTGTTAATAGGTCAAATATTAGGGTTAAGAAATAAGAAAATGTGATAAAAGAAAGAGTTTTCTAGTCTTCTTCAGCCTTCTTCTTCCTTTCTTACTACTGCAATTCTTTTTTTATCTTCTTCTTTCTTCTTTAATATGTTCTACTTCCTATTAGTGTCCTTAAAAAAAATCCAAAAGGCGCCGCCTAAAGCCTAGAGGTGCGCGCCTCTTGTATCTCACCTCGCCTCATCCCAGGCGAGTGCCATCTTCAGTGCCTGGCTGTGCCTGGCTGTGCCTGGCGCGCCTTTTAAAACCAAGGCATGCACAGCTCCTAGTCTGAGCAAACATAATATGCGGTTGCTTTAGGATAAATTCAATAGATGAACTACTTCAGCACCAACTCTACCATGCAAGCATAATTGTAACTAATGTGTAATAAATCTCTTAGAATATTACATAGCAATCGGGGTCATTCGCTTCCCTTTTGAGTTTCCGAAATTTTTTCTTCATGCAGCAGAATAAGAAAATAAAGGTACTCGAAGTCGAAGAAAACTTACAGCAATAGCACAAGCGAGGTATCCAGCTTTTTCTCTATTATCCACTCGGACACAGAGGAGAACAAAAGTTCCAACAAACCAGGGAATGCCACCAAAGAAGAAGCCCAGAAAAAACCTATCCAAAAATAGTTATAGCAAGTCAAACCTCTGAAGTTTATGACCAAAAGATGGATTAAGTTTAGGCAAGCAAAAATGCCGGAAGTTTCGTTTCTTTTATTTCTTAAAGCACCATTCCATGAAGATCATTGCAGCAATATATTGCACCTTAAATAAATATATGGCTACCTAGACATTGACGCCAAATACTTTCGTAGAGTAGATGCCGAGAGTTACTAATTTACAAATTCATAATTCAGACAACTCAATCAGGTTCTAAAGTTCAGTCTGTCAATTCCATGTATGAGCATGAGATATGAAATTTCCATAACCTAACATGACAGTGAATATCTACAATAGGAACAATCATTTCTGAACCAAATCTCCTATAAGGAAACCCGAAAAGAGTCGTTGTATGAAGAATCTTCAACAGCTTGTCAGCTTACAGATGACGATATGGGCATCAAATTAAAAAAAAAAAAAACCTTACAATGACCAGCCGATTCCAAGACCACAAACAGGAAGGCGAGGTTGCCTCACGGGTGCCGCTTCTTCAACAGGAAAGCCTTCAATAAATATCAATAAGACCGATCAAAACACAAATTAACCAAAAGTAGATTATGAATTTCCCCAAAACAAGCCAATCAACCAATAACAAAAATAAATGATTTGTGTACCAGTAACGGTCTGGTAACCATGGACATAGGGGTTGGCGAAGCACGGCGGAGGGATGGGGTGGGGTAAGCCGACAAAAGGCTGCTGAGGCGGTGGCGGCAGCTGTTGTTGGGGGAAAGGAGGGTAGTAATTGGCTACGCCTTGAAACGTGCCGTATTGATATTGGTTTTGAGGGTTGAAATTCGGGATGACGCCTCTACTTTTCTCATCTTGGCTCATTTTGTTATGCTTTCTTTTGGCGGCGAGGGTCTTCGAGTTGTCGGCGTCTTGGGCTTTGAGCTCCGCCGCGGTGAGAATCCGAAGCGGCTGACAAAGCGGCGGTGAAATACAAAACACAGAAAGGATAGAAATATTAATAGATCGTCGATAGTTACGGTGTTTGGAGGATTTAAGCACGAGCAGTTAGATCTTGTTTATGGGCCTAAATTCTAAGCTTCTTGGATTTGGGTCCAGAATACGATTTTTCATTAGTCCAAAATCCAAATCACTAACGTAGTCTCCTAATAAGGCTTTATCATATTTGATCTAAATTAATCAATCATTATCCGATTTTAACGATTATACAAAGTACTATAAGACTATAATTTTAAAAAATCTAACTCAAGTCCGTGATTTAAGTGTTTACTTTTACTTAAATAGTACTAAGTAATTATCATTCATATAAAGATTATCATTTTAATATTATAGATCGCCACCTTAGTATAGTGGATCATCACATTAATACTATTAACTATTAAGTTCATACCAATCAAAGAGAAAAATTTATTTAATTAAATAAAATCAAAAATAAAATTAGTATGATCAAAAAATATAAAATAAAATTATTAATTTAAATTCGTTATATAGTTAATATGTCCGTTTAACCCTTTTTTCATCTTGATGGTGTAATAAGACTTCATTTTGACACCACTAGAGTACAAGATTATGGCAAAATCAAAAGAATGTTTTGTTTTTGTTTTTTTTTTAAAGAAAGAAATAGTGGTGGTCGGTTTTTAACATGAATATTTTGTTATTTAGGCTTTTAAAAATAATTATTGTTGTATTTTTCTTTTACAAATTGCATCTTTGTGATTAATCTTCCCTTTATTAAAGTCTTTAGACTTTCATCTCTTTTAAAATGTTAAAATCTCTTGATCTAATCATTGCTCATTTTATTACTGATTACATCTATTATATAACGTTATATCTCATGCCAACCTATAAATAATTAGCATCACCTAAACCTGCACCACTATTAAGGGGTTATACATAAACCTTCTACAAAGATTTTGTCTTTTCTTTCTTAATCTAAACTGTCCACACTGTTCATATCTCTGTATCTGTGGAGTTCGCAGTCGAGTCAAGTGCTCTCTCTACGTGCTCACCCATCGATCTTTCCCATGAATTTCCATTTGGAAATTCTCAAGCACTCCCTGTTAAAAATGTATATTGCAAAATTCACATGTTAGCACTGTCAGGATAAATAAATAATAATGAACGAGCGAATTAATTGAAACTGTGTCGTGATGAAAACTATTGTCTTAGAAACAAATTTGCCCAATGTGCGTAATGGCTGCTTCAGGTGTCCCCGAGATTAATACGAATACTCCAAGATTTCGTACACTCAAAATCAGAGTAGACTGTAGTAGTATTGCTCCTCTAATCACCGAAAATAGAAGCACGAAATGTTTTAGGTTGAGAGGATATGTGAGTTGAGAGTGTTTGGGGATAAGCTTATGAAACTCTCTATTTATAAGCTTAGTTTCAGGGATAAAACGGTCCAATGTATATCAGATATAAATATGATTAATTTTTGTATTTAATCTCTTGTTGAAACTCTTGAAATAAAAGGATGAACCTGACCTCAAATCAGTTCAGGTTCGAGACATAATATCAGCCGTTTTGCAATTACTTTGCAACACTCAAGTAATTGTTGTTATAACTCTTGTTATAACTCTTGTAACTGACACAAATCCTCCAGATACATTTAACCTTTCACATAAAACTGCTTACGGATTTTAAATTTTAGAAATAAAAAAGACAACTTATTAATCTCAATTGTTATCCTCTGAGATTTAAATTGAATGTGTAGCCTATAAATATCAATTGGTAAATTTTTTCACATCTTTTATTTGTCCACAAAACTCTTTACGATTTTTTTCCAAAAAGATAAAATCCACACAAACGTGTCAAAGACATATTGCCATGACTTCGAGCATAGGATGAAACGACAAACGGTAATGACAACGGTGTGCGAAATTATCCTTTATTTTCTATCACTCAATAAGAGAAAAAATATATATACTATAAATACTCAAACCAGTAGTATTTCCCGCTCAATGTAAGACGATATATTTCGCGTTACCAACACTTATATGTTATTATAATTGTATGTTCCGTGCTCCTCTTCTATGCTCTTTCTCCTTTCTTTTTCCCCCAGTTAGAGCCAAAATGAGGACTTTCGTTCACACCGTATCTTTCTTCTTCTTCTTCTTCTTCTACATATTTCCTTTGGTCTCCTGCCGGCTAGCTTCAAACCAGAGTAAGACGATGATCACTACTTCTCAGCTTCAGCTTGACACCGCGAACTCATCCTAGAAAGTTGATATTCCTGCCTGATTCAATACAAGAGCTGCCCAGAATGGCTGCTAACCCGACCCGATAAGAGAACTTGAAAATACACCTTAACATTTTTTTGTGGTTGGGGGGGGGGATAAAAATCAACTTCAAATACCTGAAAATACCAGAAATACTTCTATTTAAATTACCTGCGTTTGCTTTAACCGTTTCTCGTTCCGTGATCACATCAAACTGCAGGGGAAAAGTCTGGAAGGCTACACATTTACAGAAGTCATTAAAGCTGACAATACAGAAATAGATGATTTGGACCTTTTGGTGATAATCTGTTTCTCCTTCAAGCTGAAGGTAATAAAGTAGGTTTCAATGTGACCTTTGGGCAAGAAAAGGGCAGTCATGAATAGATGCAATGATTACAATTATATAAAAGAATCAGTTGATTTGGGACTGAATTAAAATTACGTTGATTTGGGACTGAATTACAATTACACTGCTAAATCAGAGAAGTCAAGTACCTATATTTCACTCCACGTTTTGGTGGCAAATCCCATCCACACAACCTTGATGTCTGAAGGAAGATATAAATGTTAAAATCTGGTTGATTAGGAGGGTCAGGGAGCCTGCACAAGTAGGCATGGACTGCCTTTAGAACAAGAAAAACCATATCAAACCATGTCGAAGAGACATGAACCCTTTACATGCTTCCCTTCATGGTACTGTTTCTTTCTAAATAGATAGCAGCACCACCAAGTGGTAAAGGGTGAGCTTCTGTGTTAAAAATAAATTTGTCCAGTGGCATAAGAGAGTGATCCCCAAAGAGCAAGTACAGATACTTCAATGTTTCAGCTAGGAAAAAAGTCTCCATCTTATCTCTTCTTCGAGGAGGAAGCACGGTGACGTCGTCTAAAGACGTGTATCCGCCGGAATCGACCTTCGTGTATTTCTCAAATGACTCGAAGATCTGCCAACCCCATTCCCGGTATCTGTGATACATGATATTACCGAGGGGAAAGTTTGCATGCAGTTGGCCTTTATATAAATGACAGGAAATAGAAAGATTAACGAAAGAACTAAAAGATCGTACTTCCAGTCTTGAGTGATACGATACAGTACAAACAAGGATTCAACAGTTTCGGGACGCAACAAGTTGTGACGATCAGCTCGCTTAATTACAATGTCATTTACATATTCTGAACTCTTATTTCCACCATCAAGACCACTTTCAAAATAATCCTGTTGAAATCAGATCATGACAGCAGATCATTACCCACCGAATTATATAATATGCAAAAAGAATAGCACGTATAGATGAATAAGAAAATATGAACCAGTTCGGTGCACATAAAAATTAATTCAATCCTATACTGATTTTCACAAACAAGTTAAATGAACCAACCTTAGTATGAAAGTATGCAATTTCAGGAGCCAAACCAGTGGCAGTTACTGAATACATCTCGAAACATGTCTTCGCTAAATCTTCAGCAAGTTTCAAGTTTTCCAGGTCTTCGAATGTAAGAAGGTTGTCCTTCATGGCTTTCCCCTTTGTGATGCCTTTAGTGGCACCAAGTGCAAGAGTACCAGGCAAGAAACACACCTGGTAAATACATTAAAAATACTTCTATAAATCAGGGGTGCTCTTTCGCATTCGAAACAGAGATGCTTTCACTGGAGTCGATGATTAACGGAAATATAACTTTTGCATTCATGTAAGTGAATGACACTGAGCAATAACTATTGCTTTGATCGAGTGAGCTAATAGTTTAGTTTTTATGGTAAAGCCAATAATTTTTTATGCTGAGGGAACATAATCAAGTATTGACTTCATTGATTAATACAGGCTATGGAATGGGGCTAGAAACCTCTTGTTGGTCCCATAGGATAGATCCAAAGAGCGGGCTTAACTTTTATGTATCTAAGGATACTGGTTAAGCTTGTTTAAGTAGATAACTGTTGAATTTTTTTTTCGAGGCAGAGAATAAAACTTATCTCAAGGATCATAACACCTAATACATTTTCGGTAAAGAACAAAAAAATGTATCAAGTAACATTCAATACGAAGTATAATATGTAGAGACCAAAGTCCAAATTAGCTAAACAAACCTTTAATGACTTCGTTAATGAAAAACAGGGACAAAAGGGAAAAGAAAAAAAAGTGCACCATATTCTCAACTGTACAAGCCTAGACCTTAAGTCCTAGAAGCACATCATGTGTAAGCTTATTCTAGAAATGTTAAAATGCTTCAAACGGTAGATGGCAAGATGAGAGAAAAAATGATATCTTTCATCTCAACAAGAGCACCAAACATATCCATTTATCAAGGTATTCCTGAAAACTCAAGGGTGGAGAAAGAACCACATACCAGGTGATCCATTTATCAAGGTATTCCTGAAAACTCAATGGTGGAGAAAGAACCACATACCAGGTGATCCATTTTTGGATGGAGAGTACCACTGGGTCCCGAAGGCAATTCTCCCACAAAAACCAACTCATTTGGTATTGTTTTTTGCACAAGCAAGTGCCTAACACCCCTCATTGCTTCCTCATGCATATCATACAGATATGTGAAATTACCATCTTGAATAGATCTTAGCTGAAGCCACACTTTGATTAGGTACTCATAATAGCTATCACCTCGAGATCCAAGTCTAATTTCTTCTCCGATGAATTGACCAGATTGAGGGCTGCATTTCATGGAAAGATTATCAAAGAAAATAAATAAATACTCACCGGAATGATCTGCATTCCATACTAAGACAATATCAGGACTAGATCATTACAAATTACGATGATAGATGACAATGATGATAAGTATTAAAATGACATCAATAGATGATAAAGCATA